CATAATAAATCACTTCTTTTAGGTTGAACTTTCATAATAAATCACTTATTTTAGGTTGAACTTTCATAATAAATCACATCCTTTTATGTTGAACTTTCATAATAAATCACTTCTTTTAGGTTGAACTTTCATAATAAATCACTTATTTTAGGTTGAACTTTCATAATAAATCACTTATTTTAGGTTGAACTTTCATAATAAATCACTTCTTTTAGGTTGAACTTTATTAATAAATCACAATCTCCTCGTCAGGTCCACCAGGCTCCAACACCTCCTTCAGGAACTGGATCCTCGACTTCCACTCTGTTAGACCAGTCATTATGAGTCGAGAGGAATATCTCCTCTGTTAACAGTCTGAGCACAGGCGTCCCCCAGGGCTGTGTTCTGAGTCCATATCTCTTAATCCTGATGACCTACGTTGCCAGGTCTGAGAGCCGGCCGTGTGTTTGATTAGCAACAAGGATCAGGCATATTGGGAAGAGGTGGCACACCTTGTGAACTGGTGTGGGGAAAAGAATGTGGTTGTCAGCAAAACCAACGAGCTCATTGATGACCTCAGGAAAACAAAACCACATCACACACCCCTGCTCATAAACAACACAGAGGTGGAAGTGGTGGAGAGCACCAGGTTCCTTGGGGAGAACATATCCAATCAGCTGTCTTGGTCATGAAACACTGGGTCCACAGTGAAGAAAGCCCTGCAGCATCTGCACTCACTTCAAATTCTGAAGAGATCACACCTCCCACCCCATGTCCTCACCACATTATACTGAGGAACCATGGAGAACATCATTCTACAGAGGAACCATGGAGGACATCATTCTACAGAGGAACCATGGAGGACATCATTCTACAGAGGAACCATGGAGAACATCATTCTACAGAGGAACCATGGAGGACATCATTCTAAAGAGGAACCATGGAGAACATCATTCTACAGAGGAACCATGGAGAACATCATTCTACAGAGGAACCATGGAGGACATCATTCTAAAGAGGAACCATGGAGGACATCATTCTACAGAGGAACCATGGAGGACA